CAAAAGCACTGCAATGACTTACATTAACGAGGTGAAGTACAGAGACAAAATTCGTTATCAAAATCCCTGCTAGAGAAAGTGTAGAAAAAACCTAACATCATAAACGTGATAAGTGGGTAATGTAGATAAGAGTCCTCTACCTTTAAAAGTGCATAGTGCAACTGGGATCATTTTTGTTCGCCTAGAATCGGAAATAAGAAGCCGACTTCGCTAGGCAACATGACCAAAATAGTGACATTTGTGAAATTCTGCGGACAAATAATAAATTCTAAAGATGACATTAACGACTATCATTATTATCTCAAGCTAATAGCGGGACTAGTTTATATTTTGAGCAGTTGCACCAACTCATTGAAAGTATGGTTGACACACTGAACATTTGACGTTCTATGAAGTTTGAACTATAGTGGTGTCATTATGACTCGTTTATCTTACAGCAGACTGAGCGTGGTAGTTGGACAGCAACCAAACTCGAGAATAGTGCACAACGAAGCTCCAAACGATGCAAGACTCACACGATATAACCACATTAACACTCTAACTGATCTTACTACTTCAAACTAATAAAGCGTGTTTACTGGATTAATTCCTACCATCCACCGCCTTACAAGAACTACCATTGGAAATACATAGTATAGAAAATAACCGAGGAATAGAAGTTGGGGTCAACGTGTCCTTATTAAGAAAATACAAGAGTACGAGTAGAATCGAAAACAGATTCTGTTAGGAGCAAATGACTTTATGCATGAATTAGCTAGCAAGTCTATGTAGTTTCCAGAAAGTTGTATTAAAACAATGCCGACAAAGCCTAATTTTCGACCGCTAATAGGGATGACCCATGCTGACCAATGTAGCCAGCAAACAATGAATCCCTTCTTTTTCTGTGTTTACCACTTTATGGCTTGGCTTTTCTGTGTACTCTGTCAATGTATTCTCATTTTCATACTCTATGTATTTCTTTTGTGTGTGATGAAAAAAAATTCGTCCATCAATCAAAGGGGTGCGTGTGGCCCAGTGGTTGGAGGCGCCACTGCGACACACAAGTGGGATCGATCCCCGCGCCCATGGCCCACCAAGCTTTCAATCCCTCTGGGGCCGAAAAACTGGTAACAGACTTGTACAGGAGGATAGCAGCACTGGCTCGATACATCAGTAGGCCACTGCGAGTCATTGTAAAGGCCAGATATGCATTCAATCACCTCCAACGATACTTAATAAAGTCGAATGCATAGCACATCCCTAAAGGGATTGATCAACGCCGAGAGCTTTATCTTTTTTTATTTTAGAATTCTCCCGATGAAGAACAGCACATTCTAATTGTAGCTGACTGACAGTTAGAGAATGATGTACCATGTTGAAGTCCTCTCTCTCTCTCTCTCTCTATATATATATATATATATATATATATATATACATATATATAAATATATATATACTATACATTATATTATATATATATGTATATGTAAGTGGGAGTGGGTAACCCAATGACAGGGATTCCATTCATTACATGGACTGTCCAACCAACTCAGGCGCTTGTTAGACCCCGCCAAGGACCCACGGAACCTCTGATCTCTCCAGGGTCCGGAAATTGATACTTGACCTGTCTGGGAACAATTCATCCTTCTAATCCAAGTGGAAACGCTCTAGCACGGCTATCCGAAGACTTCAAGGAAAGTCGACTCGACCACCATTCAACGATATTCGCAACGAAGACAGAAAAATCCTCAAGCATCATCCGAAACTACACGCAAGAAATGTTAGCAGATCTTAGTGTATGGTGAATGTCGTGGAATGAATGAATGCATGAAATGATGCTGAGATCCACACAGTGTGATACATGCCATGTCGAGTCATGTCACATATATATGTGTATATAGCATATATATATATATTCTTCAAGACATGAACTTTGATGCTTTTACATATTTCTTATATCCATGAGTTTCGTCCCGTTCGATGACTACTATTTACGACAGCGATTACAACAGAATGAACAGTCAGTCGTTAATAAAAAACTGCACTGAGCTATAGGCCACCATAATTTCGGGGCCATTTGAATTAAATTTTATTTTCAACTAACTAGTCAGCGAGAGTGAACCGCTGGATATTTTCGTGCTACTTATGCATACAGAATGTGAAGTATTTCCAAAGATTAGGACCAAAACGATGACGACGTACTCGGCGACGATGGTACGGTTGATCAGTGGTCAGACAATATGGTGTCTCAACACTGTTGGACTTCCAGTGAAAATCAAATTGTAGTGAATCAACTGCACCTATTTAAATGCACCTGTTTACGGTAGACATTTGGCACCATGCTTGAAGGGGCAACAACGTATACGGAGAAGAAAGCGTCCACTATTGAAGGCTAACAAGTGTTAAAAAGATAAAAGGATTCACCTACTGCTGTCTTCCGATGAGAACTGCTAAACATCCAAGGCTGATCGATTTCCGGTGCACCTGTTCTATCCCGATCCTCTGCTGACCACAGCGATGAAGAAGTCCCGGTCCGAAAGGCTACTAGCTCGCCTCCATTTCGCCGACAATGCAACGTATGGACGGGCAAAACAAGTTGTTCAACATTGGTCCACCTATCGATCGTGCCACAAGAGTATGCATGTTGTAAACTGAACAACTGGATGTCACTGTACGTAAATTTTGGGTGAGAAATGTACACTGAAGAAGTTGCCAGTTAGGATAGTGTCACACGTGTTAAATATAGGAAATGCATATTTCAGTGCAAATTTTCTGCGGTTTTTAAGTTCAGTGGAATATGTGCAGTAGCAACTGAGTAGGCCATTTTGCTGAAGATGCGTTGAACACATTGATAAATGCGCATTTCGCGCACGCCTATCCTTTCGACTTACTGTGAACACTCTATGCAAGTATTTCTACTAATTTAGCACCTTATTGTAGCGAGAAAGTTTCCTTAAGTTTCATGCATCAGTGTAATAGTAAGTTTAGATGCTGGAATCGACGACAGCAGGACTCAGATCATACGGATAAACCCATATGAACAAGTTCTCTCCATATTTCTAAGTGCATGGAAGAACATTTCTTGTTCGACCGTCGTATAGCGAAGAAAATGAGTTACATGCCACTCATGTCGGTTAGTTTGCCGTGCGACTCATAATTCATATATTACTCATGATATCTTCGATGTGTTAAAGAGTGAAGAGCTAGGGAAACGAACAACGACGATCGTTCAGTACCGGTCAGAAAGCACCACATAAGAATTCGATATATAATACACGAACAGTGACAGGATGACAGCGAGGTTCACTTTCTCAATTCATTTCCATACATAGCTGACTTCCAACACTACGTAATCGAAGCAACCACTTATGAGAAATGCTAAGAAAAACTTCCTTTGCTACATCCGGGTAAAGCAATGATCTCAAAAAAGCGATGATCTCACGAACCTCAGAGAAAGAGTTTTTTCAAAAGACCTCTTGTATAAGGGACTAAAAATGTGTTTTCCACAACACAACATTTACTAAACTTCAATTCCGCTGTGGAAAAGTGGAGCTGCTACCAAAGATTCAAGCTGTCTTCATTCGTAAGATAAAGAGAATATACAGGCACAAGGCTCGTAAAGCGTATGATTTCATAGTGAAATCAAGACTGAATTCTAAGTTCCAAACAAAGCCACTTATAAAAACGGCCACATAAGTTTTCGAGCAGAAAACTTCTAATGGTGTAGAACGGCTTCGTCTGTAACACGTTCAATTGTAAAATGATTTCTGATAATTGAAGTAAAAACGAATTTCATGATGTTGAACCTTCACATTAAGATGCACTGTGAAGTTCATATTCCACTTGTGAATTCGTCGTGTTGCAAATTGACTATGACTACAGTAACGATGACGATTCATAACGGACAACAAAGGAATTCCAATGACAAAGAAGATGGCATGCGCGAGACACATCTAATGATACAGGTATACAGATGTAAGGTAAAACAACATATTGCGAATTGTTCACCGTATGGAAAGATACGGCGATATGGTCTCAATAATTTTATGTTCCTCTGGCGTTCAATTAACTGTCGCAAGTTCTGAAAGAGATTTATCCGTTAAAGACATAATTAGTTCACAAGTGTACCTTCCTAATTACAGTGTCATTTATTTGGGCATTATGACTAACATCAAATTTTTGCTTCCAAACTATTTGAAGATGAATTTTAACATCGTCTTTCTTAAAACTTAGAGGACGACGTGAACTGATTCCCACCGATACACGTGCAGCAGTATGGCCTCCATGGACTGTCATCCACTGACTTCATTTTCGGTGGTGTATTTGCCTCACAGAGCATTCTTGCAGTTCTTCTTATTTCAACAGAAAGCTTATTCAACAAAAAACCGGTACACCTGAAATCAAACCAAAACTGATATCAAGGGTAAAAAATGAATCATTTGGCATTTACCAATAAGTAGGCTGTACACCATGAATTCGACTTCTTCAAGCTTGGTTAAGGTGATTGAATGCATATCTTCCTCTTACAATACTCTCCAGTGGCATAACGATATATGAAATCAGTTTCTTATTTTCGAACATAAGTCTGGTATCAATTTGCACACTCCAGAACGATGGAACGTTTGGTGAGGTTGGTACGCAGGATCGAACTAAGTAGTAATCAAGGGTGTTTTCCATGATATTCCGTAACCACTGCGCTGCCAATGCGTCAAAAAATGCCACGCTCTACATTATATAACGATAGAGCCGATTTTCAGAGTGACTTGTTCGTTATGCCACAGAGATTGTTAGCAGTAACGAGAATGCAAAGATAGCAATGACGAGAGTACGTATCTAAAATATCTCTGGATTCTACAACGTACCAAGGGAATCCTACGCAATTGTTTTTCAAACCGACAGTATAATTACAGATTCTACATTTCTCCCAGACTCGTTCCATCTTCCCATGGCATCACATTTAGCATAACAACATCTTTACTTTTATCGACAGTGTAGCATACAGACTGTTGGTAGTGAAAAGATCATGTATGGTTTGTACGTAAATTGGTGAGAATGAGAGGAGAGTGTACCAGTCGACATATGAGTTGGCTTCGATTCACGGCAGGTACAGCGAAAATTTGGTCTTCGATTATTAACGACGTCAACCACACTGAATTATAAGTAAGAATCTACGTATTAAAATTCCTCGCAAAAATATATTCCATACTTCGTCAAAAATCCGACGAGTCTAAGCAGAGCGTTTGTAGACATAGCATGTATGAAAGGACCTTAAATTGAGAGAGAACGTGCTAGTGTGATGACCACCGTTGTAGTTTTGAAAACCTTAAGCTTCATATTGGGTCGTCATTTACAGAACAACAGCGCTACACATATTACCGCCAACCTCAAGAATCTGCAGATGCCCTATAACACACATACTAAAGGCAACGCGGCTAAGTTATACTATCATTCTTCTTCTACGCCTGTCCGTTAAACAAACGCTACCGTAAGCTTGGTGATGTTCACTACGGCGTTTAGTTTGAAGACAAAGACTTCTGAAAGTTCTTAACTATTGAACAGATTTGGTTCGTTTGTCAACTAAGCTCACAAGGTTAGTAGCTCATTTCACCAAAAGTTGAGTTTGCAAATCTTGTTAAATACAACGACATGTCGACCAGTTACCAAGGTCGTTTTCTTCTCATTCGCAATTCGTACGCGACAATACGTGTCAGTCCTTGAGAAGACGAATGTCTGCAGCTCTCTTATCTCACATCTGGACGAAGATGGTACCATAGGGTTTCCCCTTACCAAATGTGGTCCAGAAATTTTGTGATTAAATGTACATTCCTAATAACTAAACTGTGACATAAATATTAGTGAGACTAAGAAGGAAATACATTTACTATGAAACTTGACTAACTGTATATAACTATTAATAAGAGATTAGTTATTGTTTCTACATAACTTTAAAATATATTCATTCAAAAATGAGACAAAAAGGAGAACAAATGAAAAAACGCGAACTGCAAAGGCAAGCACAACGGAATCGTTGGAAAACGAAAATGTACACCTTTGTTTAATCGAGTTAAAATTCTTGAAAGTGCACCCGTTTACTAGCGAAGCGTATATGTTGCATTCCAGCACGACTCATGACATTTGGTAGCTACATGTTTGCTCAGTGAAAGCATATTACATTACATTTAACTTTACATTACCCGTAAACACATATACTGTGGGAATCCCAGAGCTTCTTCCATTCGATTCGTTTTCTTGGTAACCACCGTCAACAGTGGTCACCGAACATTTCGCGTACTGTGTCTACCGTTGGTTGAGGACTTCGTATTCTTTATGAATGTTTTGGAATGCTAGTCGAGCAGCATCTCTTTCTAATCTTGGAGAGAGCCGAACTAAGGTGTGGATTGGGAGGCGGGTAGAGTTGCGCCTTTGCTTCCTGACCGACAGCATCAACTGCGGTATCCTAACTCTCTCCCAGTGATACCACTTTATCTTAGTCATGCAAGAAATTCTGTTCGAAACATTTATAAACAAAAAAAAACATGGAAGTGGATACTATTAAAAAAATACTACAAATAGTTAATGGAACAACGTCATTCAGTCTTTAATCAATCACCTAGAAAAAAATAAGTTATTTTATTTAGACCTAGTTAAGTTAAAACTGTGATATGCTGTTACAACACAAAATAAAACCGGGAATCAATTCCAGTATCGGTCGAGAATCCCGTAAGTGTAACCCAAAAAAACAATAGGATACTTACTATATAAAAACAACCTATTCACTGCTGTCACTTTCTTCTAGAAGATGCCGAGCACAGGGCTCATCAGTAGACTTTACGGCTCTAGAAGAACAGGACGTGTAGCGACTGTGAACAACATACCTGAAAAGTTCATAGTGTGGAAAAGCCACGCTAATTATCTGGAACAACGCGAGATTAGGTACAAAATTAGTGAAACTCACCACGTAGCTAGTAGAACTGCTAAGGCAACAATGATGAAAACAACAAGGATTCCGCCAGATCTCGCCCAGAATGGAATTTCTGCAATACGCCTCATAGATGAGACGATGTGGAGTCAATGTAATGCAAAGTCAATAAACTAATGAAAATTTGGAAAACGAATTATACTGCGATCATGTTGACAAGGTGAGGAAAGGACTTTCTTTATAAATGAACATTATAGCACGCGTTTGACTCCAGTACCTGCACCAGTACTCCATGGCAAATCATTGCGGCTGACTAGATTTATCAGATCCATAACGACGCCGTTTGTCCATCCGAAACCCTCTTGAACTACGTACTCTCCTCCTCCACCAGGTTTACCATCCGGACTGCGAGCATCGTACTTTTCCCACACTCCAGCAGGCTATAAAACATAGTTCCATTATACAAAACACTTCCAAGAGCGTAGACCACATATGGCTCACACACACGCGCCCACCTGCGGGTTTTTCTGTGCCGTACCTCATTTTCCTGCAATATTTTAAGCACTAAACCATTTCTCTTGAAGTGATGTTGTAATCGCCGTTGTGAAAAATTGTTTTCGGCAATATGTTTAAATAATTGTTTCAGCAGCATAAAGAGGTGAGTAAGGCACTCGATTGAAATTAAAAACTAAAAAGACTCGGATGCACGAGTATACTAACTCACCATGCCTTCCTTCGGGTTAAATAGACCATTGAAAACAGTACTGATGAATTTATTAGCTTCATCGAAAGCTCTCTGTAAGAATTAGGAAATATTACTGGACTGCACGCATACACGCACCCCAAAACATTCTTGCCTGACGTAGAACGGAATGTTGTGATCTAAGAAGACTTTCGATAAAAAGATGTTGTGTTGGTGCCCACACATTAGGAAAATCCCACTGCTCAGCAGACGTAACGGGGAAAGTTGACGGTACTCCTCCTAAGTTAAGGAAAGATTGATGACTGTTCAAAGAAAAATAAAGAGAAAATAAACGCTTAATAGACTGACCAGGGTAACGGTAAACATCAATTCTCTCCAAATAATTATGTACGTCTGCGGCATACGCCTTTGATTCCCTCAATAAAAGAGGGAACACATTAGAAGGGTAGAAGTCAGTCCTTAACATAGAAAACTTAACACTGGATATAAAAATTCAAATGTGGCACTACTTAGAGAGCACCTCTGTTTCCCTTTACTAATGTCATAGTCGAACCATGATCCCTCATCTGCATTCCAAAACAACGAATTGATGTCGGATAGAAGCATATCATACATTTTACGATAGAACACAGACATACTGAAAACGAATAGAACCACAAATCAGATTGGTCATTTCAAGAAATTTACCTATGATTGGCCAAAAGGGCATGAGATTCTGAGAGGAAATCCATATTCAGAGCCATGAACACGTTCAAATCGACCGGGACGATTGTGTGACCGCGAATAGACACTTTCTTATCTTAAAATATAAAACACTCGAACAATGGTCCAAGTTATCGTCAGGATGATTTCACTTTAGAAAAAGAATAGGCAAAAACCAATTATAAACACATACACTTTCGAATGCCTTCATGATCAAACCAGCGGCTGCTGAAATCCCAACCACTCTCACATGCAGTTGCCAACGCTTTCCAAGAACTCATGGGATCGGTATTGTTCATGCCAAGGTAGAAATCAGAAAGAAAACTTTCCGGTCGTGGACAATTAGTTTCGGGCTGAAAGTCAGCGTGAATAAGTGAAGAGAACTCGTTAGAATCACTGGAACTGAACTGCCAAATATTTACCCGGTAGATAAAAACTTGGGCTGTTCGCTTGCTAGGTAAATCAATTAGCACTCGTCTTCTAGAGAACCAAAACTGCATCTCAATGTCCATCGCTGGTATCCACCGCTTTAAACTGTCCTTACGTTTTGTAATAGTGAAATAGTCTTTAACCATTTGCACAAAAAGTGGTGGTTGCGTCCGACGAGACAACCTATAAATAAAAGTGTTCAGCTTTAAAGTACACTAAAAAGAAAGCTACGGCTAACGAGAACTCTATATGTGCTAGGAATTCTCACAAGCACTTTGATCTCGCAACTTAACAGCAGTGTCAAACTCACTGGACGCTACCCGAATTAGGGATGAAACCATAGTTTTCTATAATATCTGCAAAGTTTTGCAGCATTCCTTCAGCGGTGTACAACATTTCCGATAGAAGAAGGCCTGAATTAATGAAATAATCCATAATAAACATAATGTCAAACCAATACCTCTTATAAAATGCAAGGAGAATATAAAAAGATAAAGCTCTCAGCGTTGATCAACCTCTCAGGGAAATGCCACGCATTCGACTTCATTAAGCATTGTTCGGAGGTGATTAGATGCTTATCTGGCCTTTACAATGACTCGCGGTGGCCTATCGATGTATCATGCCAGTGCTGCTATCCTTCCAGACAAGTATGGTACCAATTAGTTGACCCAGGAGGGATGGAAGGCTTAGTAGGCCTGGGGCACAGGAATCGATCCCATGTTTTCTATTGCAAGGTGCCTTCGACCACTGCGGCACACGCGCCCTCAAGGAGAATATAAACTTGAGGGAAACATGCTACTTTAACAAATGATAATACTAGTTGTAAACAGTTTAAAAACTCAGCCAAGCCGGCAGAATTCCTCACCTTTCAGAATCCAGTACGAATCCCAGTAGAAGAATATTTGAAACTTTCCACCAGGGACGATGAATGCATTGTTCACAGGGACAATCGGGTAAAACGAAGCATAACGGAAAACGTCGTCAGTAAATTTTCTCGATAACTTATTCCACAAGAAATTCAGCGACTTAGCAAGTTTTCTGAACATGAAGATAAAATCTTACATTGCTAAAATTCTTTCCTGAAAAACATGAAATGCAGAACAGATCCGAAAGTAAAGCCACTGAGTATTAGGAAGAAGAAGCGCTGGAACTCACAAGTGGTTTTTGTCCTGTATAAATGAGAAGAAAGTAGGCCATGCTTTAAAGTCGGGAAGAGAAACATTCCTCAGATATGGAACGTTTTCGAAATTCTCGTCACAGAAACGTTGAAAGTCTACTTTTGAAATGGGGTACTGTAATCTAAACGAAGAAATGATATTCAAAGCATTTTAAAAAACTACAAAAAGCAACTATGCCATTGACATATTAGTTTCTAACATTGTTTCTCACTTATTGAAGTTCGCAATGACTTGAACGGTCGAGAAACGCATCTTCGATCCGGGGCACGAATCCTGTAGGCCAAATCGCCACGCGTTACTCAGGATGTCACCAGTACAATAAATTGATGCTAGTTCTCCTTCACATATAGGTTCTGTACAGTTAACTTTTAGAGGTGAAGAAACGATATCGACGATATCCTAGAAATCCTCGTAATAAAATAGCATCGATAACGAACGAAGTTTCGATGATGAAAAATGAACGTAATAAGGAGCTCACATGGTTACCAGTAGAAGGTATTCCAAGTTTGTTAGCTACATGGAACGATAAGGACATCTGCCATAATCCAAGGGTTAGAAAAGGTGGTACGAAGGAAGAAATCATCCAGGCACTAAGAAAAGAATAAACGAAGGAAAACAGCAATGAGGCGTTTCAACGACATCATACGGAAACATCTCGAGCTACTTCGCAATGCGACCGACGTACATAAAACGAAACAGAAAAATGATAAATGATAGAACTCTAGGCGTTGACCAATTTCATTAATCACTATTGGAGGTGATTGAATGCATGTCTGGCCTTTACAATGACTCGCGGTGGCCTAGTGATGTATCGAGTCAGTGCTGCTATCCTTCTAAACAAGTCCAATACCAATTTTCCGACTCCGAAGAGATGGAAGGTTTAGTGGGCCAGGGGCGCGGGAATCGACCCCAGGTGTGTTTGTTGCAGGGCGCCTCCGACCACTGCGCCACACGCGCCATAAAAGAAACGAAGCATACGTAACATAGAGTCTTAAAATGCAGTAATATGCCTAAGATATAGATACTTGATGGAAGTATAAACCATTTAATGATGAAAACCAGCCAGAATACTAAACGGAAAAGACTGAAGGAAAGGAACCTCTCATGTTCGTTACATGGACAGTGTTCAAGGACGGTTTCGCGATCGACGGACGGCGGACACAAGTTTGCATTGAAGTAGGGATTATTAGGAAACGAAAGCCGTGGCGATGTTGTCCGGAACCAGTGGAAAACCGCCATCACCTCTGAAGAAAACGCGCTGCGTGTATACTTCGATAGTCCGATGCCTACGTTCGTGGTGGGCGCAGCACGAGCGCCAGAGCAAATCCATCGACCAGAGTCCACGTTTCGAAACACGCGCCCAGGCATGGCCCACAAGACAAACCATCGTTCTTGCAAGAGAATGACCTAATAAACGAGCATAAATATGCTGTAAGGTGTGTGCATAGCGCAGTGGTTACAGGTGCTTTACAATGCACAGTCTGTCATTCGCTGACTTTTCCATCCTACATGTCAAGCTCACTAAATCTTCGATATCTTCACTTCACGGTGTGGGCTAATTGGTACCAGACTTGTCTGGGAGAATAGGAACACTGACTTGATACATGGCCACCGAAAGCCGTTTTATAGGCCAAATATGCGTTCAGTTATCTCTAACCTTGCTTGACGAAGTCGAGTGCGTGGCACATCCGTCAGAGATTTACTAATATTCAACTCTTTACCGTACATCCCTTGAGCTCAGTAGTGTTCCATTCTTAGAGTCCTTACTGTCAATATATTTTCCAGCGCTGTCTAGATTTTACATGTGAGCAGGGAAGGCACTGCTTGGAGACCAACTGCCGCGGTGCACGGCAGTTTGACATCCAAGAACTCGCTCCTTGATGAGGCGGTAAATTTTGAGGAAGATGGAAGCACTAAGTTAAAATAGAACAAATTTATAAACGCAAAGAAACTAACTTATGAGTAGTCGCACCTTGTCTTAAGATGGTCCTTCGGGATAATCTTTGTGTAGTTCACAGACGGTCATAAGGGTCATGAAACACCATGAATGTGGTAGATAAGAGAACTTTGGAATAGGTTGCTGTACACAGAAATAACGCTTCCGTTCCAAAGCGTCAATGATTCTTTCAAAAAAAGAGCGACTAACAAATTCGATAATGGATAACTCTTCTGAAAGTCCAGAACCCAACATCGCATTGACTGCTTTAGCATATGTATGCAGAGCTCGAATATATCCCTTGTCAGAAAGCCCCATATGCCGCTTTGAAGATCGAAGTCAGGAAGTTTTCCAAATACTAGGAATGTGGTGCTTATTGGAGGTGAAGGTGACCCCGAGTAAATGTCGACGGTGATAATCCCGTCGAGACCCACTCCAGGAAGGACTGGATCCAGATCCAGCGAATTGTTATCGATTTATCCTAATCTCTTTGGGAAAGGGAGTCATACAGAGTGTAGTACCTGTGATCACTCTTCTTAAATGTTTTAACTATTTCTTAGCAGTACTATTTCAAAACACTTTGTAAACAGCTAAAATTAATTTTGAATGTGAATTTTAAACGTTGAAAGGATAAACACTTATTATAAACCGAGTATGCTGCACCAGCCCTTATAATGGAAGTGTACAAGTGAAATCGAAAGCTTATAACTACAACAACGCTGAGATATTTGCAAAACTCCGGTGTCTGTAGCAGATGTTTACGGTGAAGAGCGAAAGCGCTATTACTTTTTCCGGGGACTAACGCGTTCAGCATCACACCATGCGGGTCCATCGTTTCGCTTGCCTCTCAGCTAATTTTCTACTTACCAGTGTCATCAGAAATCGCCCATCAACGGGATTGATCCGGGGAGAAGAAATCGGCATTGAACCCACTTGAGATGACGCTATAGTTGAAATCACAATGTTAACTTTGTTAAAAGTTTACATTGAAAACTTATAGTTTCCCAACAGCATTTCGTAATGTTTCTAGCTAAACCGAAAATGAAATCAGTGAAATTGCACCTCTTACATACCGGATGCCAACCAGCTGTTAGTTTTTGATTGCTTGATGTTCTTGAATTTCTATGCACTTTTATGACCCAGATAGTAAGCTCTCTTGTGGATTTTAGACGACATGACATTAGTCTTCTTCTTGAAAGTTAGGCTTTCACTTGATGCTTGTTAAATCAATTCCAGCTGATAGTCTGGGATAACTATCTTAAAGCATTCCTGGGTCTTGTGAACCGCAAGGAGTTTGCCAGGCATGTTTGGTACCAATTGCCCAACCACGGAGGGATGATACTGATGTTAGATCTGGTGTACTCGTATCAGGGCCTTTCGTGCGCTCAACATCATTGTCATCACTGTGCAATTTGAAACCTCTAAATCATATTTCGCTACCCGTAGATCGTTTATGTCTTCATTCCAACCTGTTCCAAGATAAATATAGAGCTTTTTCATGCGATTTTAGACACTGTCTATTAGATCATTAACTGTCCATGATGAAGTGCTTCAACTGAGCTCATAGCTATAAAATGATAAGACAGATTAATGATGACAACTTCAAGGAGCAATGCTTACATGCAGAATTTTCCAAGCACTTCATTACCTACATTTTATAGGTTGACCAATTTCATCGCGTAGTTTGCTCCAATCTAATTGATTGTTGCATTGAATATATGTAGCTGATTTCTTCTATCCTTTTTCTTCAATATAAAGTACAGTGCAGGCCAAAGATTTAACGAACATTAGAGGTGAATACAATAAAAGTTATTGATTTGGGTAAGTTAACACTATTGCTTGTATAGTGTACCAGGATAAACACAGGATTGTCAGTGCTTAGCACGCACAGTAAGAAGATAGAGCTGATCAGTTACAGTGTCAAGCATGTATTGCTAATTAGCTTCCCTATACAACTGCATGAATTGTGCAGTGTAGAGGAACCGGTCGCATTTAAAACACTTGTCCTTTGTATATCAGCAATGCTATCGAACGCCTAGTGAAACTGTAACTGTTACTGTTACTTAGTTTACGATTATACCTCTTCAAGGGATTTCGATGACTATTATCTTATGTATTACCTTTTTTCTTCAGAAAGACAGAGCTTTTATTTCATGAAGAAAATTGTGCTGAAAGGCGAGTTCTATTTCATTGTTAAGTACGACAAAAACTAAAGTAAATGATAATGCTTGTTGGATGAAATCATCGGTATTAACCCTCTGAATTCGTAGAAGTCATTACAGCCAAGACGACTTGTCATATAGTCGAAAAATTGAGAAGTAACTGATTGCTTGATCAGCTAGAAAGGAATAACGTTGAGTGGGAACAACGACACACAACGCAAGGCACAACTTGCATTGTAAGAACAAAAAAGAAGAATTGCTTCATGATGTTAGAATACTAGTTTCTCCCACGACCGACTTTCTATTAACCTCGGCATTGATCAAGCGATTTTCTTCGTATTTTTGTTGAGCAAACGCGAGGTGTTATTATTTTTTGTTCACGATTAAGCTGACGTTTCGGCCGATTTCGCCTCCCTCAGAGCTTGGAAAGGTCAAGTTGATAGCAATCTACTCGGCCAGACGCCTCCATAACCAAACAAAGAGACTCTAAACTAAGATTTCAATCACTTTGAACACAGCTTTGCTCACTCACCGCTTTCTATGAGGTTTCCACTAAGTATGTCACGTAGAGAC